AACCCAAGGACAGCTCTTACCTACAAGAATCGAGCTTGCATTGAAGCAGGCTCTCAAATTCTACCTTTAGTCATCTGTAGTCATTAATTCTGAGGGCCCTGGAACACTCGTTTACAGTAACTCTATGCCAGCCTCATAACTTTGGTACACGTGGCCCTTGAACTTCACCTTGAGAAACTGCCTGGGGCTAATGAGAACTTTAATTTTCCACAGGTCATCTTAGAACACCTGTGTGTAGTAGAAAATGTAACATTGTCCTGATTCACCAAGGGGTATTTCCTACTTCAGTGAGGTTTGTTTGTTTTACCTTGTAAGACTCTCCTCCTACTCAAAATGAAAAGACAGAGGCAAGAACACAACAGAACTCTGGAGGGCTTCCCAGGTGGTATATACTGGTTTGCCCACATCTTGGCTCAGCTCCCTGTTCTAGTCACAACTGGTCTTCACAGAGCCGAAGAAATGATCTTTTTGAAAAGTTAACTAGAGAGGTCCTCTCAGACCAGTGGTTATTTCCTCATATTTGTGACAAAATCCACTGTACTCACTGCAGTTTACCAGAGCTATTAACCAAATTCCCCCAAATCCTTCCCTTCTTCCTCTCCCCCCTTTTCTTATGTTTCCCCTCCCTTCTCTTCCCCCTCTTTTCTTGCTCCTTCCTTTCTCCCTCCTCTCCCATTCTCTTCCTCTCCCTCTCCCCTCCAGTCCCCTCCCTCTTCTTCCCCTTAGCCCCTTTCGCCTTCTTCCTCTGTTCTCTTCTGGACTTCCAGCCACATTGGTCATCTTGCTGTTCCATGAGGGAGCCTGGATAGGTCAGGGGAAGACCTTTCCCAGGCCTGCTGTCAGGGGCTTCTTCGAAGTTTCCATCTCCAACAGTCCCTGCGCCACTGGGCTCGGTCTTTTCTCATGCTGCTTTATTTTCTGTCTTCTTTGTGCTTCACGCTTTTTTTCTAGAGGCTGCCTGCCAGCATCGTAACTGACAAGATCTATGCTGACAAGATTCCCAACTCTACTAGCTTAGGTGGGAGCTTGAGACGTGTGCTCATTGTATCTGTTAAAAGGAGACTCATTTTGCTATTTTCCCTCTCAGATGGTGTGAAGCGAGCTAGCGAGCCAGCTGTCGGGAGCTGGGGGCAGTGACTGAGGCCTATCCAGAACCCAGTCCAGCAAGGGATGGCACCAGGCATGGTTTGTAAAGTGTCCTTCATATTTCTCATGGCCATAAATCAACCCGCCAAAATATATACATTGTTAAAAATAATTTCCTGTGGCTATCCTTGTTTGTTTGTTTTTGCAGAGAGGATTTTTCTTGTAGCAGTCCTTGCTGTCCTTGAACTCACAGATATTGCACCCCTGGGATTAAAGATGTGTGCCACCACTGCCCCACTAAGGCTAGTCTCACTGTTATATAATGCTGGATTTGATTCATACAAACCTGAAAGATTTGCTACCTGCATTTTTATTTGGTAGTCCCAGTCTTTTACCCCTGCTGCTCAGTTTGTACAGATCTAGGTTCTATGCAGATCTAGGTTCAAAGTGTGATTATAATTCTAACTGTTAGATTCCGTAGATAGTTTTATTGTTATTTATTATTATTTTTTCTTTCTTCAAATAGGTTTGCAAAAGAGTCAAAAGGTAATCTCGAAGAGACGCAGTTTCTGTTTAGCATTCATGAATTACATTTTACTGACAAGGCTACTCAAAAGAAGCTAAAGCTAAAAAAAATTCTGTGTTAGATATAGAAAGTGACAAAATTATGCATAATTATCTATGCAATTACACTTGCCCAGCCTTGAAGATTTTTAGCCAGGGTTGCTTAATAACATTTGCATGGTTAAATGAGACAGCAGAAACAATGGGAAGGGCCTCAGGGCATGGGCATCTATTTAAGCGTCTACTTGGATTTTCAACATAATTACTCATATAATTGTGTGCCTAAACTTAGTGGATCCATGTAAGTAATTATCAATTATTAAAAAGTAGTGCTTATAATGTTTTTTCTCTCTGCTTCCTGCCAATCAAATTATTAAGGTACATACTATGTTCATGTTTCATCACATAAATTTTCAAGTAAAATTAACTGTGAAGCCCTAGGTGAAGGTGGATGAATAACAAATCTGTGAATTCATTCGTAGCTAATTCATCTACTTGGACATCTGTGTTTTCAGGAAGTATTCTTGCTATCCAATCATAACCACTGAAGGATTTGACCATGGTAAATATAACCACAGTACTTCTGAGCATTCAGGAAGCAAGTATGTTCAAGTATGTCCAAGTATGTTCATGGTATGACACTGCTCAGAAGTGTTGACACTGCTCAGAATGGCATGGGGCTAAAAGGAAGACACAGACATTGCATTTCTTCTCTAGCCTCTGGCCCAGTGTTTCCCAGATGGTTTATACTGTGTCAGCCCCAGGAGGCTACCATCATCCATGAGAAGTTAGATGTATGTCTGTGGGTTCCTATTGAGTCAGTGTCATTTCTAAGTTACTGTAAGCAATTTCAAAAAGAGAAATTGCTGTGAAAAACATGCAGTTTTCTAGTAATTATGCCAAAATATCCAACATATACAACATTCATTCTTATATGAGTTAAAATAGTCCTCCCCTGGAAAGTGCATGCCAAACTGTCAGCCCTGAAAACATACACACAAATAACTTATACAGACAGGGCAGGTTGTACTTATGAATTTAGGGATAACACACACACATGTATGTTACAATAGTTAATGAGAAAAGAGGCCACACATTTGAAAGAGCAAAGAGGGGTATGTGGGAGGGTTTGGAGGGATGAAAGGGAAGGGGGAAATGATGTCATTATATTAAAATGTCCAAAACAAAATAAATAAACAAATCATGCCCAAGGGGGTAGAATAATGTAATTATACTATAATTTAAAAATAAAAAAATATTGTAAAACCTTAAAAAACTAAGTTAAAAACACAAGGATCTTAGAATAGGAAAATTTAAAGAAAAGTAAACCCTGGAATCAGGTTCTGATTCTAAAGGGGAATCCCCAATTGGGGAAGATTTGGGGAGAATTAGAAGCCAGTAAACTGATGTCTCCAGTGCTCATGTGTCAAGTACCAACACTGTGTCATTTCTTTCTTCAGAAGAAAATTTTAAACGAGACAGCAATAGAATTGTCCTAACAGAAATTTATCAAAGATGGGTGACGCATACCCAGGGGAAAGGGCTTCATGTACCCAAATTCTGGCAGTGGTAGAAGGATTTAGCCACACTCACAGTAGGTCAGACCCTTGGCCACAAGTCAGGGCACATAGCTGGACAGAGGAGACAGACACGTCTCTGGCAAGGAAACAAGTATGACCAGGTGACCGTGGGGTCTATCCAGACCTACAAATACAAACTTTATGCTGACCCAGCATTAACCCTGGCTTTGCATGGTTTAAATAACCCAAAGACTGTTCATAGGTTCTTCAAATTATCAATAAGACAAAACGCAAACAAAAGCTGAGCAGAAAAGCCAAGCTCCATTTTTTTTTTTTTTTTTTTTAGGAGGGTGCACTCACTGTGCTCTTGAAAGCTAAGCCTGGGCACACCACCAGCTACCAAGCACTGTGAGTGGAATCTAAAAGAAGGATAGTTTTTGTTGGAGCAATCAAGAATTCTCTTTTATTGAATCAGGGCATCAGATAGAGAAGGAGATTCTCTGAGTAGGGAAAAAAAGAAAATAAGAAGCAAACCTCTCCACCCGAGGGAGCCGGAGTCATATTGTTATTTCCCAATGAAACTGGTTTTAGCTTCTGAAAAAATACTTTTTTCTGTAGGAAGTAAATTGTCACTTGTGTTATACAACATAGTAGAAGGCTGGCAATGCATATTTGAATGAGGAAATTGAAAATCCACACTCAAATTCTTCCTGGTTCTTTTTTAATTTGGTTGCAATTAAGTATTAGTTTCTCTTTTTCAGACATTGCCCATGTTGGAATTATGCTTGTTTTGAATAAGTTGCAGCAAGTACTGAATGCTTTTCCTGGTGTTTGTGAGAACCAGATCAATATGATCACCTTAAGTGAGGCTAATGGACAGGTACACACTGGGTTTCTTCTTTTGACATGGATATGGAACACTAAAGAATGTATTTTAATGTTTTTATCCCATTTGTCTCATCCAACTTGTTTGCTGTGACTAGAAATAGGAGGTTAGCACAGTATTGTAAGAGCTTCTGCCTTTAAAAAATCTCAGACAGACACATAGACTATAAACGCAAATTGTCCTGTAGAGAGACGACTGCCCCAATTGCTTCGGTCTCACCAGCATCCTTACTGCTGTGGTCCTGGAAGCCATTGAAAAGGGTCTTAGGACTTCTGGAGTCAGGATAAGTAATATGGAAACCTATATGGGGTTAGAGATTGAGATCCTGTGTCCTAAAGCCATAGGTTATTAAACAAAAATCCCAGGGCCAGGTTTAAGGTACCTCTTAATGAGCATTGGTGAGGCAAGTCGAAGAGGTTACCCTCCAACAAGACCTGCCACTCGTAGTTTCTCACCAGACCTAGACGATACAACTCCATCGCTGAAGGTACCACATTCCTTGACCACAAGACAGAGATGAAGCTGGGACTGAGCAGGAAGCTGCCCCACTGCTGACTAGCTTTCATGGTGCCAAAAGGTGCTATGCAGGACGCTTGGGGAGAAAGGGCATCAACAGGTTCCCTCAGCTGTGAATTCTACAAACCCACAATACCATCCTGTCAGACAAGGTGTGCCTACTGAAGCAATAATGGAGTTATTATTATAGGAGTGAGCAAATGCTCTTTGAGTAGCTATGAGGCTTGCCCCTGGCAGGGAACCTTGTCTGACAAAGTGAATGCAATAAAAAACAAACAAACAAAACCAAAGTGCATGGTTGATGAGATCTTCATGCCTGGTGGGGAACTTACATCTGTTTATTATCCTTCTTTTGTATATCATAATATTAAACTGCCTCCTAAGTATCTATGCTTATACCCATATATAAGTGCTAACCGTAGCCTTAATCAGAGATGCTTCCCTTTGAAATGAGTGGTGGTGAGTACTGACATGCTCAGCTGCTCAAGTTGCTGAGAGTAAGAGACAGTTGAACGCTTAGCCTTAAACAGGACATTTACACATCTGCTTCAAAGATTTATAGAACACGGCAGAAGAGGGGACAGGAAAAAGTATGAGAACAAGAGAACAGGAAGAAGGGCTGTGAAATGCTAGCTTCTGGCACGACACAGCCAGCACAACAACCATGCTCTCACAGGGGCTTTGGCTGCAGACCATGGGCCTGTCAACAGTTACATGGATTCAATAGGGCTTGGGAAGGTTCTGCCTCTCCCTCCTGAACTACTGGTTACTGATGGACTCTCGGGGTGGGGAAGACATCATTTGCAATTAGTTGGCCACTGGTAAGTCCATTGGGCTCCAGTAGTTGGCTCCAAAGCCATCATCACACATGGCCCTCGTTAAGCTCAGTGAGTCACAAAACAAAACAAAACAAAACAACACTAAAGGGGAGAAGGAACTTGTAGACAAGAGGAGGTACATGAGACTATCTGGGAATTCAGAGAGGTGGGGTAACAACAATCAGGATATACCATGTACATGTATAAAATTGTCAAAAAATGAAAAGTTTTTGTGTTTTTTTTTTAAACCTTGCTTGCTAGCCTGTTGGATAATTCCATTATTGACTCTTTGTATTTATGCTTATTAAGCTTTAGAAAAAGTATCCAATCATAGTAGAATATGAAGGCTTCTCATATTCTTTGAAAGGGTGAGGGAAGCTCATGAATGAGAAATGCAAGCAAAGTATACAGTAGAAAATGGCTTGATACTAAACTCAGGGTGCAAGGTGAAGAAGCCAGCGTGAAGCAAAAGCTGTGATCCTAAGTCATGGAACTTCTTGAAGACTATTTCAGGAGTCATAAAACAAGACAATAAGTTTTCCGTCCCCTTAAACATTTATGTGACATCTCACAGAGAACAGTGTCCTTGCATTCCAAGTAGTGGGTATATGCATCTGTTTTGGTGCTTGGAGTTCACGTCTTGTTTCTATGATGTAATTACATTTAGTCTCAATGAGAAAGTGCATGGAAATCCTGCTACTGGTACTATCTCCATCATTGAAATGGTTATAACTGCAAACCGGGGTTAACAGTGCTGTTAAGTTGAATGAGGAAAGCATTTCTTTCTATGTTACTGTGACTGTGATTGCAACATGAATTACCTTTTCCTATGAAAACACACATTTCCTTGATTGGGAAGATATCTTGAGTATGGGAAGTAAACAATATTCTGGAGAATTCAGTTGAAGTTCGTTGGCCCTTGAGTCTTCCAGAACCAAACAATTGCAGTTGCTTCTGGACTGAGTCATTTTATTGAGGTATAATAAACTTGTTTCCGCCCCCCACTCAATTTTTAAATTTGGGAGACTCAATGGTGGCAGGGGAGGGCAGGCTGTATGAGTCATTCCCACTCTCTCCCAGTAGAGAAGACTCTGAAGGTGCCTGTTCTTGCCATGTTCCCTCTGAGGAGAACAAAGATGACTGTTCGCTGGTGAGTCACCATTCCATTTTATGTGAGGACCTCAGTGCTCTCACTGTTCGATTCCCTTAGGGGGGTCATGTTCTCTGCTTAAAAGAATATTGGCAGTTCTTTGAGCTAATGATTTGTTTGGAGGATGGAAGTCTCCGAGGTGCCAATAACTGCACAGCTTTTATAATGTAGCTTTCTGATCTTTGATCTGTTTTTTTTTTCTCCTGAATACATGAGACCCTCAATCCAAGATTAAAGATGCCTCATGCTACAAGAAGGTGGAAGTTGAAAACTTAAAAGCTGCTCAGATTTCTAAATACTGTTTTTGTACTTTTTCATTTTGTCAACATCTTGTTTGGTGGGCTCCATCCTTCATTCATGTGATAATTGGGTAGTAAACCAAATAGTGTGGCATCCTAGGCTTCCCAAGGACTCATTGAACACAAGATTAAAATGTGCTCAGTGCACATTTTAACTAGCTTGTGGTCTGGCTTACAGACTCATCTTGAATTCTATTTGATTTAAGCATTTACTTGCCACCTTGTTGATTCCAAATATCACCTCTTCCTTCCTAGAAAATACCAAGAGTTCAGAATGTGTGTTTGAGAGACCCGTGCTCTTAACCGAGCAGTTTCGGTGATTAAAAAAAGATGGTATGGTAGAAAATGCAATGAAATGGCTTGCAGAGAAATGCATGACAGCCATTGAGATCAGAGAAGAGAGCATTTTCAAGTGGGAGGGGCCTCAGGCATTCTTGTCTAAGACCTGGCTCGACAGAGTCAGTTCAGCTAGGAAGAAACCCAGAAGGAAGTGATCATTAGGAGTGAGTGTGAGCAGGGGTGGGGTGGAGGGTATGTAGGGGAGCAGCCGGGAAAATACCAGTTCAGAAAGGTCAAGAGGCCTTTAACCAGAGCCCAGTGAAGAAAAGCCAGTGAGGAGGTATAAGCAGAGTACAAATAGAGCATCTTAAGGCAGATTTCAGTAAAATTACCCGCATGCAAACAATCACGTGCTTAATAATTTCCTATAGGCCTTATTTCCAAGAAGGAGAGCTCCCCTTCACAATGTGAAATGTGTCAATGAGAACTTGGTGCTTACTAATACTTGTCTGAACGATTATTAATTTTTACTTCAGGGAAGCAGTTCATCCCTGCACAGAGCTCTGCGTCACTCAAATGACATAGTGATGGTCGCCATGTCTGCAGCGCTCTGAGGAAGGCCACTCCCACCCCATGCAGCCCATGAGCTTCAGTGTCTGAATCGCAGGGTGAAGTGGATGACTTGCTTTTGCCCCCAAGTCCTTCAGAAGAAAACATAACCTCTCAAACAACCAAAGAGCCCAAATGTGGGAGGTAGGAATGAACAAAAGCAGAAGATCTTTCAAAAGCTGAAAGCAAGGTGCTTATGGAGACACCTGGATCCCATCAGAATGTGGCTTTTCTGGCTCCTTCCCCCAAGAGATTTTTTTTCATGGTATCATTGGGATGTTAAGAGTTTATTCAAGACAAACCGGAAACTCTGAGCTGCTCAACTTATCCTCTGCAGACTGAACCTTTATCAGTGTAAGATGACTAACATGGATAATTTCCCCTGGCTTAGTTCCTGATATTCTGGGCAGAAAACATGAAAATCTAAGATGCAGATAACTCCAAGCTGTGGAATGAACTCTCAAGGATCTACCACCGAGTTAAAAATGTTTGGTATTCTGGGTGGGCAAGATGGTTCAGTGGGTAAGGGTGCTTGCCACCTACTTTACGGCCTGAGTTTCACTCCTAGATTCTAAAGAAGCTAACACACAAAGCTGACCCTTACACTGGTGCTAGTTGCTTACAATAAAATAATTTAATTATTTATAGGGGAAAATAGTATGAAGAGACATTGCTATAAAACATTTTCCAAACTCAAGATAACAAAAACATTAACTACTATCAGTAAAGTATGTCATCTATACCAGTGTGTCTCTATACTTGCTCTTGTCTGTATGCTGGATGACTACATAGTATTAAAAAGCATAAGTTGATTTCACAGGCCTTGTTCTTTTTATAAATTATTCCTTATGACTGGTTGGTACATGTGGCCTCTAGGATTACTTGGAAGGGTCAGCTCAAGAATGGTGAGCTATTAGTAGGACAGATCACACCTACTATTTTATGCTTCTCATAAACATTGCCAGTATGATACAGTAGGACAGTAGAGCCAACTCCTAACGTAGTAATGAATAAACAAGAACAAAATTACCAAGCAAATTCAAGTCACTAACATGAGAATAAACTTTTCCAACAGAAATACCTTGGCTACTAAAGGTGATACAAAATCTAAAAACAAAAGCCTTACCCAGAATTGGATCATATTTGATTTGAGTTCTGCTCTCCTTCCAGGACAGCAGGCAGTTGAGGCTGTCTATATCTGCAGTTTCTATGTAATCTGTCATCGTCAACATCATCTGGTGCGCTCTGGCTATCCCATAGTGGACTTTGGTTTCATCCATCAGTGCCATTTTCATGAGCTCCACTGATGCACTGAAGGCTTGCTGGAAGTACTCGGAAGCCTCGCTGTACTGCCCCTAGCAAGAGCGAGAGAAAGAAAGAGAGAGAATATTTTTTTTATTTCTTAACTCACCCGTTTCACAGATTTGCTCATCTCATCTCGGCATACCCAGTTTTGAAGAGTAAGGGCCGGCAAACTGGCTTTTCATTAGAAAGGACTGTCTTCTGTGATCAGTGGTCACTTGATGGTCAGAATCCTGGAATTAATTTGGTCAGAAAGCTGCAGCTATGGTTGAAACACATGGAATGCACAGCAGCAGGAGGTAGTTGGGGGGAAAGTGAACCAGTTGCCACCAATTTCAACACAAGTTTACTAATTATAGCATTGCATTTATCCAGTGAAATATATTTAACCATCTTTTGTTTTCTTTTGTAGCAGGAGGGCATTTGATGCAAAGTCAGTGATGACAACTGATAAAAGCATTTCTCTACTGATTCTGGTCATTGCTTCTCTTTTCTTAGACATACCTGCCATCATTCAGCTAAGACCATAGAAGAATCTATATTTATAACATGTGGTTGTAATATGGCTAGAACAAAGAAAAGGTGAGAGGGGTTGAGGAAGACACATGACTTCAACCTTTACATGCGTGTTCAGACACATATGTGTATCCACACAGCTGTGCTTGCCACATGTGAACCACTCATATACACACAGAAAAAAATAGAAAGAGAAATTTAAAACATGGTTGAACATTCCTTTCAAAAGAAACTTTCACAGGAGTGAATTTTTTGCAATAAAATTTTAAGCCATATTCCCATACTCGGTGAAAGAAATGGGAATTCAAGACACCATGAACACATCTTTTTTTTCCTTTTTATCCTTATTATTCCATGAACACATCTTAACACCACACAACAGCACAGACAGGATGCAGCTTCAGCTCCATAGGTCTCTGTGCAATGGAGCAGTCTCACGAGTGATCACACTGATTGAGTAAGGAGATATCCGACAGCGTGATGAGTGGTCCTCTCACACCCAGCACATAACACTGCATGTCCTGTGTCCATAGGGCCGTCTGTGTGCACTCCCTATTCAAAATATTCCTTCTACCAAACTTGATTGATGTAAAGCTCCCTTATATTGTATAAGTAACACTTATTATTTGTTTTTGTAAGCAATTCATTCTTTTACCATGAGATTTATAATGAGAAAAGATCATTTGATGAAAATCATGTGAAAGGTGGTATCTGTGTTCCAATTATATACAATTGATAACAAAGACAGATATTAAAGGTGATTAACATATAGATTATCCCGATAGATACCAATGAGAAAGGACAATTTGGCCAAGGGAAAAAAAAAACAGAAATTGAAGTATCTAATTGCTCATGTTAATATTTCTGGGATTTAGGCTGTTTATTGATTTAGGTTGAGAGTTTGAATGTGGCAAGTCAAGGGCTATAAATAAATGCTCATATTTAAACTTCCAGGATTATTTAAACACACGTGTTTAGATGAACTCATACATTCATCTACTTAGTCATGGGCAACCACCATGTGTGAGGTTTCATGGCACCAGTGACACTTGGCTGCAAGAGGAGGAGGGCCAGGTGGTTTGTTTTTTAGAGGAAGCAGTAACGCCTGAAGTGGTGACTAGGCTTATTTAAGCCAAGTGCCTTTTCTCCCTAAGTCAGGAATAGCATTAGTGATTGTCCTCCCTTCAGACTGCCTCGTATTCCATCTTTGCACACACTACTGTCATAAACTACTGCCAGTGACAATTTCTCTAAAACAGTCAAGTAAACATAATAATCATTATTTTCAGATGCTACTTTTTTTTTTTAACTTACCTTTTGGGAATAAGTTTTCCTTAGTGTCTATTGCATTTCCACATTCTTAATTCTTAAAAAAGCTTACTACATAAATGTAATCTCTTCTAAAATTCTTCATAACATTCCACAGTTCTTTATTTTCAAGTTATCTCTATTATAAATTTCTAATGATTCCTGAAATCAGTTCTGACAATCTTAAATATAAGCCTGAGGTTGTGTAGCAAATTATAAAGGTATTAATACTCCACCCATAAGAAGGCAAGCCCAACTAGAGCTCTGAAATCCCTGACAGTTCTAGGGTAAGACCTCAGTGACATCACAGACCTTGAAACAAAGCTGGTAATAGAATTTTCATGTTTATTCTGTTTCTTGCAGATCTAATAAGCAAACTCAAAAATAAGTGGGTATTTTCTAAGTCATTCTGTGTGTGTGTGTGTGTGTGTGTGTGTGTGTGTGAGAGAGAGAGAGAGAGAGAGAGAGAGAGAGAGAGGTGCTTATGTGTGAGTATGGGCTTACACATGCCATGGTGCATTTGTGGAGGTCAGAAGACAACTTTCAAGGATTAATTTTCTTCTTCCACCATGGATTTTGGGGATTAAACCCAAGTCACCAGGCTTGAGCAGCAAGTGCTTTGACCCAATGAATCTCTCACTGGCCCTTTTCTGGTATTTTAACATAAGAATTGCAATTCTTTTAACAGTGATTATTGTTTGAACTTATTAAGGAATCAGAAATCTCATGAAGCTGATTATCTCACCTAAAACACTCTCATTTGGACAATTAGTAATTATATATTGTCAATATTCTATCAAAAGATCACGTCCAGAGAGTAGCTTGGGCATCCCATTCTCCCAGGTTTTATAATAAAAGGTTAACTAAGATAAAGACTATATTTATAAATAATTTAAATAATAAAAGAACTTTCATAACCACAGAATATGCCAATTCCAGTGTTTTTCAAAATCACAGTTTTGCCTTGTAACTTCTGTCTCACAATGTCATACTTTGACACTTATTGCTGACAACATCATTAAAATAAGTGACCTTTGTGATAGGAAGGCAGAAAGGACAAGATGTGGTGGCTGGTGGAGAGCTGTTTTGCTCACTATCTGTTGCTCTGATTAAACACCTTGACCAACAACAACTTGGGGAGGAGAGCATTTATTTCTCCTTACAGCTTACAGTCCATCACGAAGGGAAGCCAGGATCGGAACTCCAGACAGAAACTGCAGCAGAAGACAGGGATAGACAGTTTCCTGGCCTGTTGTTCTTTTGTCACTCAGCCTGCTTGGGGGTGGACCACCCACAGAGGGCTGGGCTACTCAACACAAATTACAAGGACTCACCTACATGCCACACGCTACTGCTTCCAAGTTGTGTCAAGCTTGTTTCTTAGACAGGGCAATAAAAGAGTAACTGCAGACTCTCTCAAAAGTTATATATAGTCATGCAGAACAATAGCAAGAAGCAGGGCAGGCAAGAAAACCACACAATAAACACAGCACAGACTATTAAAATACAGCAGGGTTGGAAATTTCCTAGTGGTCACTTTTGTTTGGGTCACCAAGGGCAGATACCGGCAGGACATGGAACTGCACAGAGTTCCAAACGGCAAGAATGTGAAATTGGCAATGTGAAATTGAACCTGGAGAACATTCCATGAAGATCCTTCCCGCTGAGGCACACACGCTCAGTCAGGACCCGCTGAGGCACACATGCTCAATCAGAACCTTCCCTCCGAGGCACACATGCTCAGTCAGAATCTTCCCGCTGAGGCACATGCTCAGTCAGAACCAGGTTGCAATGTGTAAGGAACTATCGAGAAATCTCTTTGGCTATGGTGGAGTTGGTGAAGGAGAGTAGCAGAGAGCAGTGAAGTCAGAGGTCAGGTGGGGCCACCTCATAATTCAGTACAGGGCGAGAACATAACTTATGTCTTTGGCCATGTACAGGCTTATTGTAGAGGGTGTATTTGGGAGGGGTGAAAATGCTGGCAGACTTTTGGCTTGAACAGCTGGGATGATGGATGGGTAAGGTAATGCCACGCTTACTATGTTAAGTTTGATGTGTCTACTAGGAATCCTGGTGCAGGTGCAAAGTGAGCAGCTGGATGCTCAAGGCTAGAAACTAAGGAGGGATGCAGATTTGGAGGTGTGAATTCGGCAGAGAAGTAGAATTTGAGGGAGAGAAGATGAATTGGCTTAGAAGTAATAGTTTATATCTAAAGAGATCTGGGTGAGTGTGTCAAACAGCCAGAGGGCTGTGATTCTGGGCTTGAGAAGGAGGGAGGAACTTGTTATATTAAGGAGCAAAGAGTGACTATGTACTCAATATACAACAGGAACTCTATCAGACACTCCATGCTTATTTCACAATGACCAATCCAGCCATGCACAGTGGCCTGTCTGAAAGTCAGCACATTGGCAATGAAGACGGGAGGGTTGCAAGTATGAAGCTAGCCTGGGCTCCATAGAGAATTTCAGGCCTCAAAAAAAAAAAAAAAAAAAAAAAAAAAAAAAAAAAAAAAAAGAACGGGAGGAAGGCTAATTTTCTAAATTATTTTTAATTTTGTGTGTGCATGCAAGTGCATGTGTGTACATGTGTGTATGTGTGCACACATGTGCATGTGTGTGTATGTGTGTGCACATATGTGTGGTGGATGTACACGTGTACAGAAGTCAGAGGCATTGGACATCCCTGGAGTTGGAGCTGGAGTTTGCCAGCTGGGTGATAGAAACTTAACTCGTTCTCTGGATGAGCAGTATATACTCAACCACTGAGCAGTCTCTCCATCCTTAATACACCCTTTCTTACATTCTTCTGAATATTGACCATACCCTGATTACTCAAAGCTTATGCCAATATTGCAGCAAACATTTAATCATTTTTCATTTTAAAACATTTCAATTCAAATATAAAACGTATACTAGCATTTTAAGTACTGTTGACTACTAGATGCCTTAAATATGTAGAAAATCAAATATTAGGGCTGGTGAGATGGCATAGCAGATATAGGTGTTGTCACTAGCTTTAAGTTTTCTTGTTACCGACAACTGGAAGATGAGGAAACTGAGGAACAGGGAACTAAGTCACCTAACATCTTAATTAGCAGCTGAGCACAGTTCAAAACTAAGCAGACAAAACCCAGGATAGTTACCCTCTGCCATGCTGTAAGCTCCTTCCAGGAAGGGATCGCTTCCTACTTGTGCAAATAACTCATGGAATTATTTAGCTGTGTAACTTGTATAGCAGCACTTAAAATAATTGAGAATTGTCCACAGTCACCCAAGAGTAGAGGTAGCAAGTTATTTGTTGTCAGTGTTATGAAGGGATTTTTCAGAACTTAGAGAAACAATTAAAATAGCAACCATCACTCAGTTCTAATTAATCCCCTTTGTTATGCCTACTGCCTTTCAAATTGCACTGAGAAGTAATCATTACTGAGAAGTAATGATGGGACAATTCAGGTTAGCCTGAGCCATTGTCAGCACAATAGTTTTAATGATGACGACGTGACGGATGGTAATGCACTAAGATGAAATTTAGCTTTAACAATTTGAGAAACAAGTCAAGTTTTGTTTTGAAGTGTGTGTGGTTATACAATTGTGTGCTCAGTGTTACATTATTTTTCATTAAGACTATTTACTACTGGACTCACCAAAGTCTTGGAATCAACGTGCATATTTGAAATGTCTGTCTGTCTGTCTGTCTGTCTGTCTGTCTGTCTGTCTGTCTGTGTTTCACTGCTGGTTTGAATGAGAATGCCCCAGCATTGGCTCTGGCATTTGAATACTTAGTTCCCACTTGGTAGTACTGTGTAGGGAGGCTTAGGAGGTGTGGCCTGTGGTGGAGGAACCATGGATGGGTTTGAGTGTTCAAAGACTTCTGCAATTCTCAGTTTTCTCCCTGCTTCCTGCTTTCTGTTTGATATATGAACTCTCAACCTTTTGATCTAGTGGCCACACATGCCTCTCCTCTGTGATGGTAATGGACTCATATCCCTCTGGAACCCCGGATACATCCTTCCTTCTATAAGCTGCCTTGCTCATGGTGCTTTATTAATCACAGCAATAGAAAAGTAACTAATATAGATCTATCTATCTATCTATCTATCTATCTATCTATCTATCTATCTCTATCATCTATCAATCTATCTCTATGAATAAACCATATACATAGATATAAAGCATATCTATCTATCTGTCTATGAAATGAATGTTCAGAATCCTCCAAAGTTTATAAAGAGGATAAATTTGTAAAAATTAACTTTTAGTAGTTGACAGTCTTTGCATGTTAAACTGTTCAAGAGTCAAATATCAGAGAATAAATCACACCAGTAACATTAAAAACACTTGGCAAAACTTGAAAAAATGAAACCATAAAGTTAGTACTTTTGTTTGTCTCATTTTCCTTGTCTTTCTGTCATGAGGGAACGGGTGGACACTTGGCAATCCTGTCATATGGAATCTGGATGTTCAGTGTGTTGTTTGGTAGGGTGGGAAAGCCATAGCGCTTTGCGCTTTGCTGCAGAGCCATCCTTTTAAAGAGTCAGTCTCTGTCTTTTGATTCAGTGTGTCAATTCAGCTATCGTGGGGTGCAGTCTCCTCTTTGACTGCAAGCTTCTCTAGGGCAAATCTTGGCATTTTTGCCCACTACCACTTTATCCTGAAAAATACACAAAAACCTGATGTAGGAACCAACCCAGAAGTGGTCAGGAAGTGGAGGCAGCAGATGGAGCACAAGAGAGTAAAGTCCTGGGGGACGACATGGAGTGCAGAAAGAGGAGAAAGAGAACAGGCAGCAGAGGGGTCAGGGCCAAGGGAGGACAAGGATGGGAGGAGGCAGGGAAGGAGGAGGCAAGAGGGGGGCGGGGGAGGGGAGAGGTGAAGGGGCCAGAATGGGAAACCGAGGAAGAGGAGGCATTAAGATTGTGAGCCTTCGTGAGTTTGAAGCCAGCCTGGTCTACAGAGCCAGCTCCAGGACAGGCTCCAAAGCTACACAGAGAAACCCTGTCGCAAAAAACCAAAAGGAAAAAAAAAAGATTGTGAGCTTCCCCAGGGTCTCAAAGAAGTCTCTGGGCAAGGAAAAAAAATGGCGTTACCATCAGAACACTGGCTAATTCTGGTGTCTTTGTGCTGTAAAAACCTTTTGGGATGGTGGTTTCTCCTCCTGGGGGGAGGGGAGGGGGCAAAAGAACTAGGGGAGCCTCAGGGAGTGGAGAGAATGAGGACAGGACTCGCTTGCAGAAATTTCCCCAGAACAGAAGCAACGCAAAACATTACTCTCATTCATTTGTATTAATTTCAAATTTGTTTTCTTACAAACAATATTGTAGTGGTTAAGAGTGTAGGTTGGACTGTTAAAACTACTTTGAAGCTAGACTTGAAGTGAGCCAGGCTCTTGGAGGGTCTGGGATAAAGAAGTACATAGTTGTAGTAATACATAGTAATACATAGTTGTAGTAATACACTGTTTCCCCGGCTAGACACAGCAGTATTCCAGGGTGCTGCCCTTACTGACTCAATTCCTTCTCCTCAGTATTTACACTGTGTGTGCTGCACGTTTGCGTTCATATGGGTTGTGTACCTGCTCATACATGTTTACATGTATGTGTTTGTACACATGTGTGGAGGCCAGAGGTCAATGTCCAGTTTCTCCCTTCACCAGGGTGTCTCTCACTCAGCCTGGGGCTCACTGCTTGCCTAGGGTGGCAACGAGCTGGCCAACGCGCTCCACTGGCCCTGCCCCCCATTACTAGGGTTATAGCCATGTACTACACATTGTTTTGGAACACAGGTGCTGGGGATCTGAAATCAGGTCCCCTTTGCTTGCAAAACAGACACTTTTAATGACATGGCCATTTCCACAGGCCAGCCAGTATTTATTTAGTGTGTTTGTGTGTGCATGTGTGTGGGGAGAGAGAGACAGACACACACACACACACAGACACACACACACACACACACACA